AATTATAATGAAAAGCAAGCCCTTATAAGGAATTTTAGATCACATAGGTCTATTATTAGACCCTAATTTACTTGGGGATTATAGTGAAAAGCAAGATCCTTATATGGAGAGTAGGTCTAATTTTCAGTTTTTATGGCGGAAACTGAAATGTAGTATAATTTTTAAGAAATAAATTAAATCGGCTAAGTTTTGATCACGACATGGGATGTTTTGGGCAACCTCCAAGAGGCCCGCTTTCATGAAAAGTAAGCCTTCGCATGAAATAATGTGCAATTTTTCGCATATTATTACCAAAACGAGTGGATAACTACACTAGGCGAAGTAGTGTAGGGATCGAGTGGTCGGCCTTGCCCGACTATAATGTTCTTATCCATTTTACTTTGACTTTCGCGTATTTGTGATTCTTGTTTGCTTTAGTAAAGATAGTTTTTAGCGTTTTAACACTTGCTTACTGCATTCGAATTTACTGAAATGACCAGCATTGAATATGTATGTATGTTATCTCCTCGGTTTGCTATAATTGCTATGTCACAACTGAATTGTATTTGTTTCGTTTGATTGGTTTCTAATGAATATAATTTCATTACTCTCAACCGAATTTGGGGTCTTAAGATGACCTTTGAATGGATGTCAATACCGACAGTTGCGTTATTCACATTGTCATTAGCTTGTTAATGTTGTTTTTCACCGTTTATGTCACTAAAGTTACATTTACACACACAAATGTTTTCTAGTTTTGCAGGTCATTAATAGATATGCATTTTATACGTTAACAATGGACGCATTGCATACCTATACCGCGCATTATATACGTAATGAAATTTAAGATGTTGTTCTATAACTAGTGGTATATGAACACATTATAGGATATAATGTACTCGTTCTCCTGTTATGACCTTTACGTTTATATATGTTTTACGCATGGAAGAACAACCACATTAGTAGCTCTACTGTCAAATGCCTCTCTATTTCTCTACTGTTCCAAGGAACATTTTATTGTCGTTTTAATTTTACATTCGCGACTACTTCGCGACATAAACATATGGTTTTCGTTAATTTAAATTTTGGCTAAAACTGCCTTACCATATAATAAAATTAAATATTATAATTAATAATAATAAGTAAGTTATAAGTTAAGTAAATGTCAACCTTCCGCCTTTATTTTCAGCTCAATGCTTTGCTGAAACATAATCGCAAATGTTTTTAGTTCCATCCCATGTGCCTTTCTTCATATATTCCCCACAGATTCCATGAACCATATATATATTCCTTTGCCGCTTGTTAGAAAATCTACACATATATATATATATATATATATGTTCATATGTGTGACCAGCCAGCCAGTCGCTTAGTGGACCTCTCCTAAATCTGCAGACTCAGCGGTTTTTACAAAGGATTATATGTTAGGTAAACAAGGGAAAAAGGAGAGAGTAGCAAGTGCTGCAGGCATAAGCGTTATTCAAAGAGTGAGAAGCAGAAGCTATGTCGCGTAACATAGAACCAGCTGCAAGATTAATAGGTAAGAACATAGCGAAAGCCGGATAATATTGAAGGACTTGATTGGCGGATAGATATTTTGTATCTCTATGGAAAGCTGGTCGTAGAAGTGTCTGTATATACGCAAACCAGAGCTTTCTTTATGCCGATATGATACTATCGGGCACTTTACTTGCATACATTAGCAACTGAACGCTTTGCTCTGTGTTATCGAATGATTCAAGGCAAGAAGTATCATCTCCAGTCTTACCCGGTATAGATGCTATAAACTGTGCGGATATCAGATGAGATGAAGTAGGACTTACACCGCTTAAAAAAAAATTAAATTTTTGACCATCGCTTTCGAACGTTTCCTATAAACGTTTTGCCGCGTGTCCGCTTATCAATTTTACATCGACATTATTAAACTAAAAACCATGCGCAGCATTTATCCTAAAGTTGAACCTATATTCCCGACCAGTTTTATGCGAGGCCTCTGAGTTGGGTCTGCTATTAAGAAGGCAGTATTTACGCGAAGTCCATTCCTAGTCAATTTAATTTAAAATTGAGTTGTTCGCTCTAGTTAGAAATCTGATTAGATATATTTTGTAAGAGCGGCTAGAATATAATTTCATATTCCGCCTGAGTAGCCGAAGGCGAGGAATCTCGACTAACAAGTCAATGGTCGTGGGTTCGAATCTCAAGTGCGGTAGAGTTTTTAATAAAAGCCGATAGCCGATAGATGCTAGTGCTTTTAAGAGTTTAGCCTTAGAATTTATTTCTCTGGCGAAATTAATAATAATAACAATAATAATAATAATAATTTCATATATACAGCGAATGCTATAACATTCCCGATGATAAAGGTTCAATTCTTGAACTAATTATTATTAATATGTATAAATAAAGTCATAAAAATTCAAATAAAAAATAATTTACTTCAAAATTGAAAAATTATATATTTTTTGAATTGCGTAAAACGACCGGCAAAAAATAGGGCATAAAAGTCGATTTCGAAGATTGTTTTGGGGGTTTGTTCTGCAAGCGAAACTGATGATAATATTTGTTAGTTAAACGACCGAAAGTTATGACGGTTGAAGGGCATAAGTGATACATGTGCGTGCGTGCC